CTGAGTTTTGTTGCTTTATTTCTTACATATATATTTTTAATTATTTTTTATTGATTTTGCTATTACAGTTGTCCCAATATTTCCCCCTTTGTCCCCATGCACCCAGTATCTCCCAATCCCTCAAGCCATCCCCACACCATTGTTCATGTCCATGGGTCATGCAGATAACTTCTTTGGTTACTCCATTTCCTATACTGTATTATGCATCCCCATGGCTATTCTGTAACTTCCTATTTATCCTTCTTAATCACCTCACCTTTTCACTCATTTCTCCACACCCCCTCCCATCTGGCAACCATCAAAATGCTCTCCACATCCATGGTTCTGTCTCTGTTCTTGTTTGCTTAGTTTGTTTTTTAGATTAAATTGTTTATAGATACGTATTCATTGTCATTTTATTGTTCATAGTTTTAACTTTCTTAAATAAGTCCTTTTAACATTCATATAACAATGGTTTGTGATGATGAACTCCTTCATTATTTTTCTTGTCTGGGAAGCACTTTATCTGCCTTTCAATTCTACATGGTAGCTTTGCTGGGTAGAGCAATCTTGGCTATAGATCCCTGCTTTTCATGACTTTGAATATTTCTTGTCAATCCCTTTTAGCCTGCAAAGTTTCTTTTGAGAAATCAGCTGACAGTCTTCTGGAAATTCCCTAGTAGGTAACTAACTTTTTTCTCTTACTGCATTTAAGATTCTCTCTTTATCTTACCTATAGCATTTTGATTATGATGTGTCTTGGAGAGCACCTCTTTGCATCCATCTTGTTTGGGATGCTCTCTGCTTCCTGGACTTGCATGTGTGTTTCCTTCACCAAATTAGGAAAGTTTTCCTTCACTATTTTTCCAGATGGATTTCCAATTTCTTGGCCTTTCTTTTCTTCTGGCATCCCTATGTTGTGAATGTTGGACCTCTTGCAGTTGTCCCAGAGGCTGCTTATATTATACTTAATTTTTTTGGATTCTTTTTTCTTGCTTGTTCTGATTGGTGTATTTTTTGTTTGTTGTTGTTGTTTTTGCTTCCTTATGTTCCAAATCATTGATGTGATTTTTGGCTTTGTCCACTCTACTGTTGTTTCCCTATACATTGTTTTTTATTTCAATCAGTGAATCCTTTGTTTCTGACTGGATCTTTTTTATAATGTTGAGGTTCTCACTAAGTTCCTCATTCTTTTGCATGTTGTGGCACCATTTGCTTGAAAAGAGTATTCTTTCCCCATTGAATGGTCTTGGCAGCCTTTTGAAGATTAATTGACCATAAAGGTAAGCGTTTATTTCTGGATTCTCAATTCTATTCCATTGATCTGTGTGTCTCTGCCATTACCACACCATTGATTGCTGTAGTTTTGTGGTAGTTTTGAAATTAGAAGCTATATTCGTCCAACTTTGTTCTTTCTAAGATGGTTTTGGCTGTCCTGGTACCCTGTGCTTCCATAGGTCTTTTGGATTAATTTCCATCAATTTTTGCAAAGAGGGCAGGTGGGATTTTTGCTAGGGATTGCATTGACTCTGTAGGTTCCTTTGGGGAGTGTTGCCATTTTAAGAGCAGCATGTTTTCCCATATGTGAACATGAGATGTATTCTGTCCATGAACACCAGGTTTCTGTCCAACAGAACTACTTTCTTACGGCAGTGGTTCTCAAATATTTTGATCTCAGGACCTCTTGCACTTTTCAACATTGAAGATCTCTAGCTCTTAAAGTGAAGGCTAACAAATTTAAAAAATATCTTTTTCTTTTATAATTAAAAACCCATTACATATAAATAGCATTGCTTATGAACAGATAGCAGTCCTTTCCAAAACAGTAATTTAATGGGGAGAGTGGCATTGTTTTTATATTTTGCAAATCTCCTTAATGTCTGATTTAATAGAAGCTCAGCTGGATTCTCATCTGCCTCTGCATTTGTTCCCTTACAATGTGCTATTTTGATTGAAATATGAGAAGGAAATCTGGCTTCACACAAATGCATAGTTGGGCAAGTGAGGAGTATTTAAATGTCTTTTTATATAACTTTGAATATTGTTTGATACTACACCAAAACTCTGCTGCACTTTTGTGAGGAGAGAATGAGAATGAAATAGGTAAATGAAAGTCATTTTAACTTTGCAGGCCCACAGAAAGAGTCTCTGGGATCCCCAACAGCCCAAGCCACACTTGGAGATAAGTGTGTCTTAAAGAACAAAACTGAATAGTGCAGTTTTGCAACAAAATGGCATGATGACTGAATAACAGTTTTTTAAAAAAAGACTTTATTTATTTGTTTTTAGAGAGAGGGGAAGAGATTGAGAAAGAGGGAAAGAAACCTCAGTGTGGGGTTGCCTCTTGTCCGCCATTACTGGGGCCTGGCCTGCAACCCAGGCATGCTCCCTGACTGGGAATCAAACCAGTGACCCTTTGGTCTGCAGGTCAACACTCAGTCCACTAAGCCACAGCAGCCAGGGCTGAATGAAAGTTTTATTATGTGTATTGACAAATAGTTAGGAAGGGATTTGGATACATTTCCTCCCCGGTCAGTACTTGATCTTCTCTATGAAAGACACTGCTAGACCTAAAGGGTAAACACGGAATCAGCAAGGTGGATCAGTTTTTTTTTTGAGTATTTGTGATTATAAAAATAATAAGTTATTGTAAAAATTGAGACTACAGGAATGCATCCAAGTAAAACACTGTTTTTTGAGTTTTCACACTTACATATTGTTAGTTATCTGGTGTATTTCCTTCAAGTTTAGTTTGCTTTTTTTAAAAAATATTCAGTTTTAGTTCTGTGAATTTTTTAAACATTGTTGTAATTATGTTGCCTATCATTTTATATCCACCTTTTTAAATTTTATATTATTTTTGTGAATATTTTAAACAATTTAATATAAATGCATTAGTTTCTGGTTTTCTGTGGTTTTCTTTTTTTGTGTGCTAGAGCTGCTTTGAACATTGTTTATAAAATGGTTTACATAGTTTTGTATTATTTCATTTGTACAGATTTTAAATAGTTGTAAATATATGAAGTTTTAGAAGTATATTGATACTATATCCTAGTGAGATTTTATTTTTTATTGTGGAAGATTTTAACCAAAAAAGGAGAGAAACTAGTACAGGAATCCTCAACGTACCCATCATTTAGTTTCAGCTATTGTCAACTTGCTGCATGCTTGTATTTTTGTTTTTTCTCTTTTCTTAAATTTACAAAAAATTATTAGCATATTTTAAAGCAAATTCCAGATGTATAATTTTATCTGTAGTCTTTTAGTTTGTATCTCTTACAGGTAAAACCACTTAAAACAAATAGCCACAGCACCTTGATTGCACTCAATGCAATTGATAATCATTCCATAATATCCTTTATCACCTAGGCAACATTCCATTTTTTCAGTCAAATACTTCATTTTAATTTATTTGACTTTGAATGCAGATATAGTTCTCATTATATAAGGCTATTTTAACTAAATCTTTTGTGTTTTGTAGCAATACAAATCTCCCATTTTTTCATGTCTTAAATTTGCTGTAGACATGAGGTCATCTGACTTGTAGCATGCCCTACATTTTGGATTTAGCTAATGTCTTTCTGTTGGTATTATTTAACATGTGTTGTCCTAGAATTTCCTTTAAGTTGGGAATCAGATCTAGAGGTTTGATTAAATAAGGCTTTTGTTGTTGTTATTGTTGTTGCAAGAATACTTCATAGATGGTGCTCTCTCACAACATCAAGAAGAATGTAATATTTCATTTGACTTTTAGTGAAAAGATTGAAAAGTAGCTTCAGTCAATGTCCACCTGATCCAACCATTTATACAGTTCCTTGTCAGCTCCTCACTTATTTCAGCAGAGGTTAATGATCACTGCCTTGGTTATTTCATTAGATGTTGCAATGTTTTGATTTTCTAATTCTCTCATTCACTCTCTACTTATTAATTGTGGTTCCTGTATAGGGAGCAACTTTCCCTGATTAGCTATTTGGTTGTGCTGAAATACTCATCCAGGAAAGGCAGGCTAGTCATTGTTTCCCTTTAGTAATAGTTAGAAAAATGATTTGGTGTCATAACAGCCTCCAGAGGTGACCATTGTGGTGGTGGTGGTGCTTTGAACTGTCATGGATTTTTATGTTTGTCCATTGATGCTTTCTGATCCCCATATTGTCCATCTGTTATTATCGGGAGTCCTCCTTCCTTTATTGTTGCTCCCGTGACATGACTACAGGAGTCTTTCTTTGATACAGCTTCCTTGCTGTCATGGTAAGGTGTCCCAAGTATTCACCTCAAATCAAGCAACATTCTACAAAATAATTAACCAGAATTCTTATAAAGTGTAAAGTGTAGATGAAGAATGAGGGAATCTGGAAAAGCTGTCACAATTTGAAGGAAATGGAAGAGAAGTGACAACTTAATGCAGTGTGGGAAGCTAAATTGGATCCTGGAGTACAAAGAGGACATTAGTTAAATGGTGAAAACCAAAGGAAGAGAAATCTGTAGCTTAGTTAAAAAGTTATATATCCTGTTGCCCAAAAAACCCCAAAACAACAGACTACATATATTCTACTCAGCTTATTTGTTTGTATCTCTTTTATGTTGATAATCTGAGTACTTAAAATTAATGTAATTTGTACTTTATCCTATGATAGTATGTATAATATATAAAATAAATTACTTTCAAGATAATACCAACATTTACCCCCAAAGAACAAGCCAGTTGAGTGCTTTTTAGGATTTCTTGGTGAATTTTTAGGCTCTTGTGTTCAAATACCATCTTTTTTTTTTCCAGCTGTTTGTCTGACTTATGTTTTTATTGAGATGTAATTCACGTACCACTGAGTTCACCCTTTAAAGTGTCAATCGTTGGCTTTTAGTATATTCCCAAACTTGTGCATTGATCACCACTTACCTAATTCCTGTTTGTTTGATTTTTTTATTATTTAATAATGGAAAGGCAAAAATGTAATTTGTTGCAGAAAATGGAGTCCATGATTTTCAGAAGGATGGTGGTAATTTATTAACCAAGTAATCAGTTTTTACACAGTCTCAGCAAGTACAGCAATTTTCTTGAACTGTCTGTGGAAATTCTGAAACTGTGGAATTGTCATTTCAAGAGACTTGTTCTTTATGTGGCCTGAATGATCTGCCAATTTTTGCATTACTGCAACATAAGGATACTTACGTGATCTGCAACTGTCTGACTTCACAGCCATACCCAGTTTCCATTGAATATCTAGAAGCTCATTGGTGACCTTGGCCTTAGTTTTCCACCTTGACTTCATAGACCTCTCCATAGCAAGTGTCCAAGGCTTGTACCACCAACTCAGGTAGATGCTTCTTGGGCCACCTTGCAAATACTGTCTTAAAATCACTTAGAATAATTCTCTGAATAGTTATACCACCAACTTGATATTTGGTAAAATTTGAGATTGATTTATTGCTTTGAGTGTTTTATGAAACAGGTATTTCTGGTATATGTGAAAGGAATTTAGAAACAAAGGTAAGAGAATTATATTCTCTCAAGAATTTACTAAGGTTGATAAAACTTTCAGTGTAGCTTTGACACTGAAATGAAAAATGTACTGCTAGGATAGAGTCCACCAAATGAGAGGAGGGCCCTTTGCTTTGTCTCTGCATTTTCTTATAAAGAGTGATGAAATGAAATCAGAGAAATAACCCCTCTTGTTCAACTCATTAAGACTATGTTGAGGCTATCTCTGAACCCTCATGGTTCCAGACTACTGGGTCTTGGGCCAGAAAGTACTTTGGTTTGGCAGTAGGTTTTCCCTCTTGCATATTTCTCTTTACAACCTAGAGACCTGCTTTTCAGCCATACCAGGAGCAATAGTTTATAGTTTGTCTTAAAATAGTTTTGGTTTCTTGAACAAGTAAAAGTTATTATTTATTGGAGGGGTTTCAGTACTTGAATCATCATCATCATATTTTAAATCTTATTTTAGATTCAGACATTTGATAATAAAGTCTAATTTTAATGCTTTGTATCTGTCATAGTGCTTAAAGGATATGCCTATTAATAACCCCTTCTATTGGCAAACTTGGTAGTGTAATACCAAGTTTGGACTTGGTTGGACTTTTAGAAACCTGTATACATGTCAGGTCAGTAATTGAGAGCCATAGTGGCATGATGTGAAGATTATTTGTTTATGGATAGCATGCATGGGTCAGATCAGGACTGCTGCTTTTGTTGAGCTGAGATGCTTTTGTATTAAAGAACAAACATACCAAAGTAGACAGTACCATATCATGAATCCTATACCCTTCTCCAGGAGGAGCAATGGTGAAGCCCCACATCTCTGCCACACATACTGCTTTGAGGAAAATTCTAGACATTGTGTTATTTCCCCAGTAAATATTTCAACATGCTTCTCAAAAAGGCAGGGTCTCTTTTTTTTTTCAAGTTTTTTTTTTAGATTTTATTTATTTACTTTTAAAGAGAAGGAAAGGGAGTGAGGAAGACAGGGAGAGAAACATGTGAGAGATACATCGATCAGTTGCCTCTCACATGCCTCCAACTAAGGACCTGGCCCACAACCCAGACATGTGCTCTGACTGAAAATCGAACCAACAACCTTTCAATTCCCAGGCCATTGCTTAGTCCACTAAACCACACCAGTCACAGCAGGATCTCTTTATTAAATGTAATCATAACATCATAATCATATCTAAGAAAACAGTAATTCTTGTAATAACAAAATGTCCCATCAGGATTATATCCCTGATTGTTTTTTAAGTATATTTTATTGATTATACTATTACAGTGGCCCCATTCCTTTTTCTCCCCTTTATACTCCTCTGCCCAGTACCCCCATTCCCTCCAGCACTATCCCCCCTTAGTTCATGTCTATGGGTCATATATATAAGGTCTCTAGTTTCTTCATTCCTATGCTATTCTTAGCCTCCCTATTTTGTACCTACCAATTATGCTTCTTTTTCCTTTTTTAAAATAATTTATTAATTATGCTATTACAGGTATCCCACTTTTTTTCTCCCGTCTATTACCCTCCATCCTGCAACCCTCCTCCCACCAGCATTCCTCCCCTACGTTCACGTCCATGGGTTGTACACATAAGTTCTTTGGCTTGTCCATTTCCTATACTTTTCTTAACTTCTCCCTATCTGTTAGTACCTACCATTTATGCTTCTTATTTCCTGTACCTATTCCCCCATTTTCTCTGTTCCTCCTCCCCACTGATAACCTTCCATGTGATCTCCATTTCTGTGATTCTGTTCCTGTTCTAGTTGTTTCCTTAATTTTTGTTGTATTTTTTTTTTAGGATTGGTTGTTGATAGTTGTGAATTTGTTGTCATTTTAGTGTTCATATTTTTTATCTTCTTTTTCTTCACTAAATCCCTTTAACATTTCATATAATAAGGGCTTGGTGATGATGAGCTCCTTTAACTTGACTTTATCTGGGAAGCATTTTATCTGCCCTTCCATTCTAAATGAGAGCTGTGCTGGATAGAGTAATCTTAGATGTAATTTCTTGCTTTTCATGACTTTGAAAACTTCTTTCCAGCCCCTTCTTGCCTGTAAGGTTTCTTATGAGAAATCAGGTGGTAGTCTTATGGGAACTCTGTTTTAGGTAACTGTCTCCTTTTCTCTTGCTGCTTTTAAGATTCTCTCCTTGTCTTTAGTCTTGGATAATGTTGTTATGAAGTGCCTTGATGTGTGCTTGCTTGGGTCCAGCTTCTTTGGGCCTGTCTGAGCATCCTGGACTTGCATGTTTCTTTCCTTAGCCAGATTGGGGAAGTTTTCTTTCATTATTTTTTCAAATAAGTTTTCAATTTCTTACTCTTCTTCTTATTCTTCTGGCACCCCTATGATTTGGATGTTGGAGCATTTAAAGTTGTCCTGGAGGTTCCTAAGCCTCTCCTCATTTTTTTGAATTCTTATTTCTTCATTCTTTTCTGATTGAATGTTTGTTTCTTCCTTCTGTCTAAATCATTGGCTCATGACCCATTTTCCTTCCCTTCACTCTTGGTTCCCTGTATACTTTTCTTTATTTCACTTTATATAGCCTTCACTTCCGCCTTTATTTTTCGGCCATACTCAGTCATTCCTGTGAGCATCCTTATTACCAGTGTTTTTAATTCTGCATCTGCTAGGTTGGCTGTCCCCTCATTGCTTAGGTCTTTTTCTGGAGTTTTGATCTGTTATTTCATTTGGGCCATATTTCTTTGTCTCAGCTCATCTATTATGTTGTGAGGGGTGGAGCCTTTGGTATTCACTAGATTGGGGCAACCCACTTCACTTGTGTGGCACTCTGTATGGGGGAGGGATCAGAAGGGAACCAGTGCTGGTTGGTTTCTCCTGCTGCCACAACCCCCACAGCTTTTTACAGCCAGAGGTTCTGAGTCTTTATTTTGTCCACACTGGCATCTTGAGCTGTGAAATCTGTCTCATTCCCCAGTTGTTTCTCTTGGTTTATCCTCATGCAAATGTGGAGCTGCCTGGTCTACCAGCTGCTGCCTTGCCACACATCCTCTCTGCTCCAGCTGCCCACCTCCACCCCTCCTACCAGTCCGGATGAATGTTTCTGCTTCAACTCCTTGATTGTCAGACTTCCATACAGTTCAATTTTATGGCAGTTCTGATTGTTTTTTCTTTTTGTCTTGGTTGTTATCCTTGTTTTGGTTGTGTGAGGAGGCTACACATATTTACCTATGCATTCATGTAGGCCAGAACTTTTCATCCCCTCTTGCTTTTTGTTTTAATAAATAAAGCCATAGTTTGGCCAATGTGTGCTTTGTTTTCTTTTGTGTGGAAGACTGCAGGCTGCTTGCCCAGTAGTTGTAAACTTTGCAAGGACTTTTCTAGTTCTTTTTTTCCCTTTCTGCTATCATATATTGTTTTCAACCAAATATTTTTTTCCTTTGAGAATCTTAAAAGTCTAGAAGTTAATAGTGGTAAAAAGCATCTACAGTGCCACCTTCTGTGATTTGTCATTCTGGGTGCCAATCCACATCTTTATTTGTAAGAATTGATGTCAGTTTCTATTACATTTTAACGTAGTAGTCATTTATCCTACATTTTGGAAAACCCTGACCTCTTGTAACTGATTTAATGTGTTTTATGCATTTCTTCTGTATGCATAAGAAGAATGGTTTACATTTCCAAATCTATCTTATAGCATTTAAGGGATTTGTGTGTGTGTGTGTGTGTGTGTGTGTGTGTGTGTGAGAGAGAGAGAGAGAGAGAGAGATTGATGATACTCGTGGCAATTGGATGAGATTACCTTTAATCATCAGATTATTTCATTAACCAGAGTTTTGAACATTAATTATGAGCAGGTTATTGAGAATAAGGAGCACCATCATAGAAACAAAAAGCTACATGATTAACCAGGGATACAAAAGTTAGCTTTTAAATTTCTTTATCAAGTACTCAGAAGAGCCTAAAAAGATAACATGTGTTAAATCAAGGTCTTTATCTTGTGAAGCAGTGTAGCCTGAAGTCAGATCTGGGTGTCCAGGAATCCTGGTTCTGACACTCATAATAGGAAATCAAGAAAACTGTCATCCCTTTGGAACCAGAGTTGTTTTGTAAGCCATGTGGGAAAATCAGAGGTGTTACACATGAAGTTAAGCAATACTTTGTAGCAAAGGCCCCTTTGCAGTCCAGTGGTTCAGAATTATGAAGGAGTTCTTTTTAACTCATTAGTGTTTATTTCTTCATATAACTTGTCTTGGAACAAAGGAAATTAATAAGGCTGTTCAAAAATACATATATATTTTGGAGTGGGGAGGATTCAACAAATTCCAAGTTGGAATTTTATTAATTTTGTAATTTTCTGTTTTTAAAATATGAGTTACGAGTGTGAATGAGTTTAGTTTCTAAGTCTTAGAACATTATATTGGTCACCAAATTATTGTGAAAAAGGAAACTTATTTTTTTTAAAAGCCAAGTTATGTCTTAGGTAAGTAAGGTGCAATTTAATGTGCAGATGTCTCCAAACTACTTAAACTCCAGAGGGATAAACATATGTACTGGACAACTTGAGGATTTTAAAACTTCTTAGTAATTTTCATTTTAAGAATCAGTTGTGCTCTGCACTTCAAGTTAGAATTTACTGTTTTTGTAATTTTACAGCATCCTGCAGTTAACGTTAAACTTCTCCCAGTGGAGCCACAAAGTAAACAGCTCATGACTTCTGATCAGGACGCTAAGGTCGTGGCTGAACCGCAGGGCCAG